TACCGGAACATCTCCTAGAGGACCCACGCTATGCTCCGTGTCACCTGCTGTACTTCACCGGCATAACACGCATGTCGAAGTTGATTCTTGCTGAGATTGTACGTGGGATGTTTATGAATTCTGCATCATACCTACGTGTGCTGTCTGAAATGCGTCAGCAGGCACTTGAAATGCATGACGCCATCACGCGAGGAGACTTTGAGCGTTACGGCAGGCTTATTGGAGTGGCCTGGGAACAGAACAAGCGTCTGGATTCTGGAACATGTCCACAGGCCATTGCCGACATTATTTCGCGAGTGGAAAAGGATGTTTGGGGCCTGAAGCTCGCGGGTGCTGGTGGCGGTGGGTATCTCTACATGGTGGCGAAGGACGTAGATGCCGCCCAACGCATCCGGCATGAGTTAACGCAGCGTCCACCAAACGCCACGGCACGATTTGTGGGAATGAGCGTTTCACACAGTGGCATTAAAGTGAGCAGGTCATGAGTTAGCGGCCGTTTTTTTTTTTTTTCCTTTCCTTAGGAAACATGACATGAGTGCCACTCACCATTGAAGGGTAGATAAGGGTATTTATTGTAAGAAAAGTGCTTTTTTTTTTTTTTTTTAATATTGAAAACTTGGTTTATGCGTCCTGAGAAAACAAAAATAAAAAAACAAAAAGAGGAGAAATAAAGTGTTATTATTATTGTTATTATTTTTTAATTTTATTTTTTTTATGGGTGAAACTGCGTTGATCGACATTTTTTCCGCCTTTTTGTTGTCTTTTTTCCCAATATTTTTCTTTTTTTTTCGATGCGTTTGCCATTTGCCCTTTACGCTCTGATGGAGGGCTGTATTCTTTACACCGCCACCACTGAAAGGGGCGCCTGACGAATTGTTTTCCCCGTGTGCGTGTGTGATTTTGGTCCCTTATTATTTTTGCGGAAAATTGAGGGGTTTCATTGTACTGTTTTCCCTTTTTCTTTATTTGGGCAGGGTTGGAGTGGGGGTGGGGTTTGTGGAGGCCAATCGAAAAGAAAAGAAAGGGGGGTGGGCTGGGAGGTCGAGTTTGTTCCCCGTGTGCGTGTTTGCGGCTGAAGAGGAGGAGGGATGGCGCCAAAGAAGCAGGCGACAAAACAACGTGTGCGGGTCACCAACAAGGCCCTCGAGGCACGTCAGTTCTCCACCGTTCGCCTACCGCGCAAGGCGGAGATGCAGGCGCCGCAGGTGGACGTGGAGCGCATGTACGAAGACCACGACCGTGGGTATAGGCGCGGGGACGAGAAACGAGGCGACGGCGGTGGTGATACCGGTGGCGTTAATGCGCGAAAGTCGGTGCCGCTCATCTTTGACCCTATTCCGAACGATCCACTCTTCGTCGTTGTGGCGAAGTCCAAGTATTGGCCGCCGCCACCGCTGGAGGAGCTGCGGGCGGCAAACGGTGCCCCGATTGAAGATGGCTTTGACGCGTATGACCGTCGCGAGGATGACAGGGCGGCGCGGAGGGAGAGGGTGAGGGTGGTGCGCGGGGAACTGAACCATCCACGCGGGAAGCCTCGACAGAACACAATTGTGAAGTTGAACGATAGTGACGAGGAGAAGGATGAGAAGGGGTAATGCGCCGAGCGACGATCCTGGCCACGCCGGGGGAGGGAGAGAGAGAGAAAGGAGAGAGGAGAGAGGCTCATTGTTAACGAATCGCCATTGCCTTGAGGGAATGGGAAAGCGAGGAAGAACGAGGAGACATGCATGCGGGGTGATGTTTGCCATTGATGGCAGGTTTACAATTCGTGTAATTTCATTTCTACCTGGATAAAAAGAGGAGAATAAGAGGAAGCGAGGGCGAGTGTGCGTGTGGGGGTGCATGAGTGGATGATGCTCTGGCAGTATTTTTGTCTCTCTCTCTCTCTCTCTCTGGGTATGCATTTGTCCATGTGCCACATGCAACTTCTTTCTTCTGCATGTTAATAAATCTTCTCACCATTGCAATTTTTGTTATTGTCGTTTATTTGCTCTTTTTTTCTTTTTTGCATGCACGCGTATTCACATTCTACACTTTGGAGCGAATCAGGCGGTAAAGACGTGAGAAGCGGTGATAAATGCCATGTGGGGCTCTCGTCCGAGGTATCGCCGTAACGTGAAGGCATTGCTGGATCGCAGTGCTCGGTTTCTCAGCAGCCTCCTGCACGGCGTGCCAAATGCTTCTTTTTTACTCCGCCTCAATGCTCCCTCTCTTTGGGGCAAAAGTGAATCCACTCCGGAAGAATGGCAACGGTGTCTCGGAGAATTGCTTTGCCGCGGTGCTGCCGCGAACTGTTTGCTCGACACAAAGTCTCACGTGGCGGAGGTTCATGCTTCGCTGGTGGCCGCATTTCTCCCAAAACCTCATTGGAATAACTCTATCACGCACAGCATGGACATTATTTCACTCTCCTCGCTTGAAAAGGAAGTTTCGGACACTGTGGCGGCCCTCTTGCACCTACCGGCCCGTTTCTTGTGGGTCCGACGTGCGGAGGCAGTCATGAAGAAGGCGGAGTCTCGCATGACTCATTCATCCACGGAATTGCACAGTGCTTCTCCTGCTGCGCTGATCTCAGCCGTAGAGCGTCCTGTGCCTTATGTTGGTGCTGGTGATGCTGGGGGCGGTGGACTGCTGCACAGCACATCGCTGGAGAGTCTTATTGTGCTCCTCACAACGGCCCGAGCGCAGGCTCATGCTCGTTATCTGAGTGCGCACTTCTCGAGCCCAGAGGAAGAGGCTCGCCTGTCGCAACGGTTGGTGCTTTACTGCAGTGATCAGTGCCAGCCGATGCTGAAGAAGGTGGCGCGCTGCATTGGCATACGACACATCCGAGTACTGAAAACAGTCTATTCTCCGCATGTTCACAACTACCCGATGCAGCCGGATATGTTGAAAGCGTCACTTGCGGAGGATGTTGCGAACGGACTTTATCCCTTATTGGTCTGTGGTGTATTTGGGGCCCGTACCACCGGTGCCGTGGATCCTCTCGAGGAGCTGGCGGAAATTTGTCATCGGATAAAAGTATGGTTTCACATCGACGCTAGTCACTCTGGATTGGCACTTGCGGCTTCCGCTGCTTCTGCTGCGTATGGTTTTAGGGATGGAGCAGGACAGTCTGGAGAATTTGCATCTGTTGACGAGAAGGACGCAGCGGCTGAGAGAATGTGGGAGCAGTGTACATCGACCTTTCATAGGGCTGCACTGCTTGCGGACTCCATCCACTTTGGTGTTTCAACGTCGTTCCTGCCGACCCTGTCAGCCAATATTTCTGCTTCACTGTTGTACGTCGCAGATGTGGCCAAGGTGAAGGCGACAATGCAAGGGATGAATGCGGAGGATGAGGCGGGTGGGAACACGTGGTGTACGCCGGGTATGACGGATGTCGCTTCGTTGCGGCTGGATGCCCCTGAGATGCGTTCTAACGAAATCTTCCGTCTTGCTCTCATGCTTATGCCATGTATTCATGCGTCTGTGGGTTTTGCCGTGCGAGCTCACCAGGCCGCTCTGCGCTACCTGGAGCGGCGGCTACGTGCGGATGGGCGATTTGACTGCTCTTTGCATGCTTCCTGCTTTGGGATGGTGCTATTCCGCTGGCTTACGCTCGCGGATGAAGAGACGGCGGGACTCATGCAACGGTGGAGCGACGTTCTTGCCTCGTCTTCCGCAATGAACGAAGCCGGGGGCCACCGCTACCCGCACCGTGTCTCGCTAGGCCTCACACAGGTCCAGCGGCGGGTTTACATCTGTGTTGCTCTTGCCGCAGACGGTGATAATGGCGATGCGTGTGTGAGCCGGTGTGACGTGGACGCGCTTGTGGATTTGCTGAAAACAGCTGCCGATGAGTGGAGGGACATGTCGTCCTCCGTGACGTCTGCGATGTCATCGAAATCGAAGACATGAGACGTTGTGAGGCGACATTAGCGTTTCTGACGGTATGCGATAGTGGGTG